GGGAGCCGTGAACACACCTAGAGTGACCGGAAAATGCGATTTTTGCAAGTTATATGCAGAAAGGAGGCTCAGGGAGCCAGGGGGGAGAGGAGGGCTTTGCTGGGAGTCTCCCCAGGGAGTGCACGGGGGCTTGGGGATGCTCCCTGCATCGGCATGGGGCTGCAGCCTGGCTCCCGTCCGTGGGTCGGGGAATGGCTGCGCTTACTGCAGGTGAGCAGCACCACCAGCATCAGCAGGACCTTCATCTTCCTCTCACCCGGGCCTGGGAGGAGAATCGGAGACAGACTCAGCCAGGCAGTGTGGCCGGTCAACAGGCTCTGCCTTGCAAACCTCTGAAATTCAGGTCAAATCCCCCCCAAAATGTGGAGGGAGGAAGGCAGCCGTGCTCCTTTGCATCTATGTTGCTGCCTCTTGGCCGAAAGCAAACCCTTTCTGAAGCTGTCCCACCTCCTGAGCATCTCCCACCTCCCATCCCATCACTTTTGGCACCCGGGGCATCATTTGCAGCAGCAGTGCAGCTATCCCCCTGGGGCTGCAACTTCCCAGCTGAGTTTTTATCTGAAAGCAACGACACTTTATCTACAGGCATGGAAAACAGCAGAAAGCAGCACGCCTGCCGCCTGCCGCCTCCTCCCAACGCCCCCCCCCCGTATTTTTGTTTCCGCAGCCGACATGAACCACCCCACCGCAGCAGCGGGGCGAGGGTGGGAGTCGCTCACCAGGGGATCGAATCCTCGCTGCCAGCCCGTCCTCCCGGGGAGAGCGCTGCCCTCCGTGTCCGGCCTGCGGGCTCCAAACTGGAAGCGCTGAAATGACTTCTCTGTCCCAAAAATGCTTTATGCTACGCCCTTCGCCGGCCAAACCCCCCCCCGCTCCCCGTGGGCTGCAGCCCGGAGTGACGCAGGGGCCGAGGCAGAGCTTTTGCGAAGTTTGGGGTATGTTTGGGAGGATGATGTTGAGTATTTACGGGGATTTCTCTCTCTGCCCAGCAGCAGCTCACAGAGGACCTGGGTGGCTCAAGCACGTTGTTTATTTTCATGTTGATTAAATTTACAGCAGCACTAACGTGGTCCGTGCAGGCAGGGACAAAGGGCGATCTGGATGCAGAAGCCACGCGCGTGCTTCGGCCTCGCATCCCGGCTCCCATCACCGGCACCGGTGCTTGGGGTAGAAGTGATAGCGTTTGCTGTAGCTCCTGATGCTTCGCTTCAGGCAAAACGCCAGGCTGCGGTCACACTCGCAGGAGAGCTGGGCGCACCAGGAGCCCTCTCCTGCAGGCAGAGGGGAGCCCAGGGTCAGCCCCGCCTTGGGGGGGGGGGGGAGCACC